GAGGAAATCGCTAGATCTCTATGGCAGTGCAAGTGGCCTTCTTATTTTCGAAGTGAAGTATGAGGAAATCGCTAGATCTCTATGGCAGTGCAAGTGGCCTTCTTATTTTCGAAGTGAAGTAGAGGGTCTACAATACTTAAGTTTGTAAAAGCCACCACGACACTCGAAAACGGGAGAAGCAGGGTCAGGGGTCGTATCTGTTCCTACGATAGTTAAATCTATGTATATTGAGTAAAAATCGGAAAACGTACTTTCACTCTTGAAAGAACTTGTGAAAGAATAAGCAGTTGTCAGCAGCATCTAACGTGCAAGAATGCAGGGAGTATAGCGAAGACATGGAGATCATTGAATAGGAAGAGGGGTTTGCCGCTATTATTGAATAAGAAACATCAGTACACTCCTAAGCGAGCCAGAACATTAGGGAATAACACTGAGGTGATCATAGGAAAGTGTTTCATATGTATTCCTGTAGTAATCATTGTTGTGGTTTCTTCGGTCAAGGAGAATACACCGTATTTGGCAATGGGCCAAGTGAGAGTCGCCTATATTTTTAGATGCGATCCCAAGACCTACACGTACACAATGACCCACATTGTATGGCTCGTCCAAACGCCCACTCTGCTTCATTCTTGTGGTCTCATTCTCGTCCAGCCCCCATTTTTGACGATCTATCGAAGCCTTTTTCACGTTGGAAACACCGATTCACGCAGCTCTCTCGCCTTCATCGCACTACTTTCCATCTTGTCTTCGATTTTTCGTCATAATCTGGATTACCCAAAATTATCGTGCACTGTGCCTGTAAATTAATTTCTTGTTGCTGTTTCTTGTCCTCATTTTGCTCTTTCATGCCATCCACTATTGACATAGTAAATAATCATGTAAGAGAATGTACACATGCTGAAAACGCAAGAGCATGGCAGAACCTTTATTATGACTGCTCCTTCGTTGTAAGTTTCACCGGACTTCTTTTGATCGCTGTATTGGTGCTCTTTGGCTGATCGGTTTATTTCTTTAAGTTGTTTTCCTTTTCTCGTTCTTTGTTTCCGTGATATTCTTCCTTATTTTCTGCTGGTGACATGAAACACAGTTTTATAGGTAGGATTGCTAACATTCACCCCGTGGGCCATAAAGATAACTTCATTGAAGTCTAAGTTCAAGTTTATTACGCCTGCGAAAGGCGCATTTGAGAAAAGAATACTGTAGGTACCTGAATTGGAGGGATGGAGCTCCAAACGAATGGAAAAGACCCCTCAAAATTGCTAAAAATGCAAGTATAGATAGCAGCAAATAAATACATTGAACAACCACTCTTACAAAACGCTAGAGCTATCGAAGTGAAAGGTCGCTACAAATTCCGTATTCGTAAACCTTTTATTTCGACTTTTGTAACCGATTTCGCAAATTTTACATTCACTTTCGTAAACTGAAGTTAATCCTCTTGTATGTCTTTACCAGGCGGACATGCACGCTATCGCTGCGCTAGGGGCTCTAACCATGACGGGCGGAGTCACATGAGCTGATTTTCATTATAGACCTTTATCAGATTTATTAGTTTCCGTTCAAATCCGCCCCCTGTCGGCGGAGTCTGGTCCTGCCACCTACCATTAGTGTTCTCATCCATCCTTCCAACTTACAACTTTCTAGATCCACGGGAACAGGAGTTATGATTTTTCAAAAATGTTTCATGAAGCATTACATTTTTGGAGAGCGCCCCGCCCATCGGTTGTGGGTCTCCCCATCTCCGATGGGCGGGGCGTTGGTCTAACTTTGGTCTAACTTACCAATGCACACCTCTAGCCACCTTTACACCCCAGCCATCTCGTGATTGAATTTGAAATAATGGTCCTCAGTACAGCTCATTTCGATGCACGCCACGCCCACTGTGGGCGGGCTTCGCCAAGCTGATGTGTGCTTTATACTTCTCGAGACATGACCCACCCATCCCACGCTCGTCCGGTCTCTCCAAGCAGATCTTAAGGAGCTAAGGAATTCCGTGACAGACATACAGGCANACAGACAGAACGACAGACAGACAGACGACAGACGACAAACGAAGCGCTTCATAGTAATTGTATAGTAAGTAGGATTGTAGGATAATACAAGTATTGTTGTAGACTTTAACATGGTCATGACCGTATGCACCTTGATCGAAACACTTCGCACTGCCGACGTTTCTACTTCGCATGTCTCAAGTAGCATTTTAGTAGTAAGTCGTCATTAACTTCACTGGTTTGTGCCTCCTATTCTTCAATGTATAATTTTTAGTAGGATATCCTAGAGTGTCCGAAAATTATGGGCGCCAAAACTTAGAAACCCTCAATTGATTAAACTCACTTTATTTGATATTGGTTAGTTGCACAAGTAGGTTTTCTTGCGATATGCATCGTTACTGGAGTAAAACTCCCTGTATCTTTTAAAATACGGATGCCTACTCATTGCCGCTTGCAACCATGGGCGTGTGGAAGAGCACTATTAATTCCTTTTGAGTTATGGTCATCTCGTTCAAAAGTTCGCAGACATCCAGAGGAAAGGTGGGATTAGGGAATAAGCTCTTACCACCGACAGTGTTTTGTTCAGAAGCGAGTGCCGTCAGCTACGACACTGCCCGATTTCGACATCATGGCTGCAGCAGGAAATATTGACAAACTGAAAAGAAGTATTACCGGACAGGATGAACGCGAAATTATCAAATGGGGCGTCATACAAGGAAAATCCGCCGCTCAAATTCATCGTGAACTCAATCAACAAATGGACGGGACGGAGTTCTTCAAGCGTAATGGCCAGAAATGTGTGCGAATGTTCAAAGAAGGAAGAACGGAGGCAAAAGAAGGCAGAGGTGGTGCTCACAATGTTCACTCCGCACACGAAGAACGAGTAGCTGAAATCAAGCGTCGAATGGCTGAGCGCAGAGACTGGACCATTGTGGAACCTGCCGCGAGGCCGGCATTCCTGCTACTACCGTTGGCCGAGTTGTGTCCAAAGAATTGAAGATGGTCAAGAAGTGTGTATGGGTACCTCATATACTTACAGAAGCACAAGTCCAAAACCGAATTGATGCCTGTAGAAACAATGTTCTCTGCCATCAACATCACCCACGACTCTCGAAACGAACGTTGGCTATAGATGAAACATAGGTGGGTTTGTACACTGAGCCCGAAAGTCACAAGCGTCGGGTTTGGATGGACGCCGGTGAAGAACCGCCCGAATTTGTTTATGAAGAGTTACGTGGTTCCAAGCGTATGCTCACCATGGCAAAGGATTCGTTGGGCGTGGCGTTCTGGCGACTCTGTCCTGGAGAGATGACCCTCATTGCTGAAGTGTATTGCCAGTTTCTCGACAGTAATATCGGCAATTGGATGGCAGCACATAACTTCAAGAAGACAATTATCATGACAATGCTAAGCCCCACGCATCTCGAACTGCGCAACAGTTTTTTGAAGAAAAGAATATTGAAACCTGGTTTCAACCGCCGCATTCTCCCGACCTCCAGCCGTGCGACTTCACCTGCTTCGGTCAAATGAGGTCACGTCGCAGTGGCAAACGCTTTGACAAGTGGGCGATCGCCGAAATGCACATCACCAGCATTTTATCTGCACTTGAAGAAAAGAAGCTACCTGGTGTCTACAGGGTGGGCCAAAATTATGATTACACGGACATTACATCCCCGAAAACGAAGAGAAAGCTAAAAAAGCAAACCAACTTGATTAAAGTGTCTATCACTAATCTCTTATCAAAATAGTACATTGAGACTGGGATCTGTTGCTTCCTGCTTTAACCGAACNCCAGAGACGATGATGGACAACATTAGCGGTGGCACGCAGCTAAGGTCATAAAGTTGATCCCAGCTTTTTGCAAGGTATTTTCGAGATTATTTCACTTCATGTTTGGGCTAACGGATGCTCTCATCTCAAAGGCCGACCACACTGAGACATCTATGGGATTTAGGTCAGGGCTCCAGAGTGGTCACTGATCGAAGGTTATGAATTGAGGGAACCCCTTTTAGGGAATTTCTAGACAATTTCTGATTTGCATTCAGGAGCATCATCTTGACAATATGTCCGGTTTGAATCGCCAAAGTGTCCTATTGCGCACGAAGAGATCAAACAGATCTTCAAATCAACTTCCACTCCTTACTTTACAAAAATGATCGGTGCTTTTGCCTCGGCTGTGGCGCTCGCAAAGGATATTGCAGAAAGTGAGCAAGCCTAGCGCTGCATCACTTCCATTTCTTTCAGCTTTATACAAATCTTGTAGCCCTGCTTATCGGGCACCTTTTTCACTGCAGATATCTCCGCCGGTGGCCAGGAATCCCGTATTAAAAATTTTGTATGCGGCGGGACAGCTTTGGTGAGCCAATATTTCTCTTCTTTTTAGTCTGCTCACTGGGGAAAACACTTTCTGATCGTATAAAGGCCTTGTCGTGCAGATGATGCTTCATGATTTCACGCAGAAAACTTTATGAGATATCCATTCATTTAGCCATTTTGGGCTCAGAATGAATTTCGCTGCTACGCACACCTTCGCCCTGCCTCACTAAAACTCCCAAAAAATATAATCGCAGGCGTTTTAGGTTTACCACTCCTATCTGTAATTGTTCCCGACTCCCGAAAGCGGCTTATGGCTGAATGTACCCCTGCCTTGTTGCGCTGAATCGTCTGTAGATGCACCGTGCCAAAAGAGCTTGTAAATGCAAAGTGTCGATTTATTCACGGGGTATTTACGCTTACATTATTTTCAAAATCTACCAAAAATTTAGCACCATCAGAAAGGTAATAATGTAATCTACCTTGTGAAATAGAAGAAAGCGAACGAATTGCTATGACCTCAGAAAAAATTCGTTATAAGCGTCAGCGAGCGCTGTAGTCATAATTTTGGCCCACCCTGTAGATGCTACCTGGACGCTGGGGGAGGGTCGTTAACAATGATGGAGCCTACCTGACAAAACACTAGAATATTAGCTTTCTATCTCGTTCCCTGTTCATTTTACTCGAATTAAAGCTTGCGAACTTTTGAATGAGATGACCTAATATATAATATCCGGATAGAAGGCTGTTAGACGATACAGAGAAGAAGATTCAATCAAGGACAAACTAAGGGTGTGGGAGCATTTGTACGATCGCATCTAATCAAGCTCTCCTCGCACGCAGGCGCGAAGTGACCTTTATTAGGTGCGAAGGTTTCTTGGTAAGTATGGTGGCACATCGTTAACCGGGTTGCAACTTATCAACTAAGGAGAATAATAACACTAAAATGAGTTCTCTATAGCAAATAAGTTTTTTTGGCAGGGAAAACTCTAATATAATGGTTTTATTTTTTCGCATAATAAGTAGATTCAACATATTTTTGGTCGAAGTATCTGTTAAATAGGAAAAAATCGGTTCAACTCTCTGATCAACAAGAAAACCAAAAACAAAACCAAAATTCTATAAGTGAAATAGTTAGATAATTTTGTACGTTGCGAATGTGGACATCTTTATGCGCGGATTTCATGGCGACGGACTTCTTACTGTTGAAGTTCATTGAACCTAGGGAAGAGTCAAGTACAGGGTGCGCCATAAATATGGTGACGGAATAATTGCTTTGCAGAAACTGCAGTATTTATTGGTAAAAGGTGAATTTATGTGACCTATTTATTATGCATCGCATCAACAAAATGAACTCACGGTCATCTGATATGACCGTTCCCTGGACTTATTATAGCTCAAAGACGCTTCGGCTACTCATCGACGGCGGCACTCAGAGTTTTTGAAAGCTTTTTGGTTTTTTCCAACGATTCCTCAAAAGCAGCAGCAGTGGTGTATTGTAAAGAGGAGGCTTCCCTCTCCAGTGTACACTAGCCACTGGGCTGAGGACTGGAAAATTCGTAGACCAATTGGGAGCATGGATGAAATTGCGAACATCTCAACACCGGTCTTGATCCTTTTTCATTCTTGAGCAAGAACGCGAGCGTTTCCAAGTCGTATCACAGGAATAAACTTTGACCCAGAGGTGCGCCACAGAATTGTCCTTTATGAAGGTTCCTTATCAAATCTAATACTTTTCTCCATAAAAAGTAAGCAATATCGCTCTGAAGACGAATATTCCAGCTCATACCATCACAGAAGAAGAAAATTGCTAAGAAAAACGATCCAACCCTTCTCAACTTCCGCTCCACTTGTAGTGAGAATTATGCGTGTAGGCTGAGCCCCAAACATTTCTTCCACGCTGTACACCTTTTTATTAGGTAAAAGTGTAAGTGTATCGAAGCTCGTGTCGCGGCAGGTAGAGCACTCAACTTGTGCTTACTTTCGAGCTCCTTCTCGTCAGGAAGCTCGAGGGACTTTTAATACCTATCTCTGTACCATTGTATTTACTCGTGGAAAACTTTTCTCATCGAGAAACTTCATTCAACTCGACATCCATTTTCCTCGTTTTCCTGCAGGCTTCGCAGCGTAATCATTTCCAATAATTGTATTTCGCAATCGAGGCCGGTGACCGTCTATAGGCTGATCGTTGACCTGTCCACGCATTTCGATACAGGAGACTATCATGCGGTAAATGTCGAAACGGATCCCGGAAGCGATCTCAATCTCTGCGCGCAAAGACGGACGGTTGGTAGATGACTGTGAGACTTCACTATTTTTTGAGAAGGGATATTTTATGAACATGAGATAAGGTGCGGAGTTTGAAAAACCCTCAAAACAAGGAAATTGAGGACCTCCGTGAAATTGTTTCCACATTTATGGCGCTCCCTGTAGGTATCTGCGGTTCAAATAAGAAGTGTCTTTTCACCGAATTCCACAATTCCATTTCCTTGTGTATCTTTTTCTTTCCTTCGCTGATGATCTCTTTGCATCTTTGCAAAGATTTGGCTCTTTCTGTATTCCAAAGGGAATTCACAATTGCAATCCCATCTTGTCAATCGAGTGAAATACCTTTACTGTTTCTATAATCTTTACTTCTTTTAAGTGAAGAAGGGCAGCTCGTGCCTAATACTTCAAACCGCCTTGTGAGACTTGTGGAATAGCCTAAATGATGAAATAAAGGTTGTTCAATGACCATCTAACTACGAAACTACGGTTCAACGAACTACGGTTCCAATATTGAACAATTACACCGCTTCTGTAAAGGTTGTCTGATATCACAGATTAGCGGAAGTCCAAAAAAAAAAAGAAAATCAAACCACTTTTCCCATTTCGCAGAAAGTTCAACCGGAAATATATCGAGCTTCTTACTATGCACGTTAATGAAACTTTCAAAACCAAAAAATGTTGGAATTTTTCCTGTGAAAGAAGCTTATTCTCTGTAGAAGCTCCGATTTTTTCAGTGTCATTATTCTCAATATGTTCTAGCTATGCTGATAGCTGATAAGTTCTAGCTCGGTCAGCAGCGATGTGCAGGCAGCGTATATCACGGAGTTCTCGCACCTAATTGTGGTCACTTCGTGTTTGTGTGCAAGGAGAGCTTGCTTAGGTATGGTCGCACAATTGTTCGCACGCCCACAAACCAGGATTGGTTGAAAAAGCCAGCATTTCCAACGAGAGGGCTGCTGGAATGATCCGCTTGAACGTCGATCGTGGTCTTGGGTGAATCACCGAAAAGACGGCAAAGAGCAGGTCCATCGAAGTTGTCGTTAGGGCGTATTGTCATGCAAAAGCTTCATTGCCGCACCTGTCGTATGCAGAAATGTCGCTTTTTTCCGATCGCAACAGAAAGAGTGTGGGCCTAAAAATTGCTGAAATTTTCTAATCAGGAGAGGCGCGCACCCTTCGTTTTTTCACGCAGAAATTTATTAAAATTTTTTCAATTCCACAACAAAATTCAGTACGCAAAAAATAGAACGATTGCGTCTTTGCTAGAAACGTCGAACGTGTAATCTTGCAAAGCTATATCGATAACTACCAATTCGTCTCCCCCACAATCAGTATTTCTACCCTGTCCTTTGTACCATTTTCAAAGAGTTTCCGGTCAAACACACGCATCTACATACATACGCATACATACGTACATGCAGTCAAATTCATCGACACACCAACGGACATACTATCTGAAATGCACTAAATAGGATGCTGTCTTTGTTGATAGTGGTACACGAATAAGATACTGGCCAGTCAGGAAAGTTTCATGTTATCGTACCTTAGACGGCTGGTTCTCGTATGCTTTGGATTGAAGATATTGTCTTCTACTGATTCTCATAAAACCGTGAAAGATGACCACCAGAGATTGAGATAACATTATCTTTAATGTATAATGCGCACTTTTTTTAACGTAAGGCTTTCCGAACGTTGCAGGCTTTACGCAATTTTGCTCTCTTCTCTCTTGTGGCATCTGTCGACAATTGCATGCAGTACGAGAATGATAGCTGCACATGGCGGTGAGTCCTTGTTGCTATTATATCGAGACCACCTCATTTCTGTATTTGTGACATCGGAGACGTTTTTCAGGTGTGGGTTTCCGGTATGAACGTCTCCTCAGCAATGCTTGCGCAGATGCTCTTCGTGTTGGCGGAAACGATGTGGTTTCGACTATATCGGTATGGTCACGCAATGCTCGTTTCCTAAATTAGGAAGTCATTCCCATGGTATGAGTCTGCGGTCATCGCATCAAGATAATTATACAATCGTCCGCCGTTTCATGTGTAACTTGGCTGTTGGTTGAGTGCTCACCTTAGCCACATTGTACGACCCAGCTTTTGACGATTTCCTCTCTTCATGTGGCCTGAAGGTGATCGGGCGCATACATACTAAGTTCCGTCCTCGGTACCAGACTACGACATCGCCAATCATCGGTGACTTATGATGCGGGATGACTTTTCGAGATGATCATATTTTTTCTCTTCGCTCGCTGCAGATTTTGTTGTGATTTTTATTCTTTATCACATCCCTATCGATGACCGATCTTCTATATGGACAGTTTCGCGTGAGCTTCATATTTTGCTACTTACTTTTGTCCCTCTTATCTCAGCATTCTGTTGTGGGAAATATTCTACTTTCTTGCTTGCACTTGCCTATAGCACCGCATAGCGAGTAGGTGGAACAAATGTCGGCTGAATTAAACAGCGCTCGTAGAAGATCGATACAAGACTCAACCAAGCGAGGACGATGTTCATGATAGTGGTACTGGAATGGTGTTGGCACCTGATGTTCCCTTTGCGTATAGACAAATGATCTCCCTAATGCCCTAGGTAGGATAATCGAGGTCAAGGACTCAATGTGATGAACGCTCCGGAGCTGAGCGAAAAGAAATGCGTTGTGCGGAGAGCATTTGAAAACATAGAGGGAGTAGCGGAGAAGACAAAAAACCTTTCTCTCCAAGTTGTCCATTTTGGCCCTGCGTCTCTCCTGCTTTNACATACGCCTCGGCGATTCAGACTCCACACGAACAGAATGAGCTGCTCATATACCATTTTTATCGTAAGCTATGCCTTCTCGGAGAAACAAGGTCTTCAAACACCGTGAATTGAACTGCTCCTTTACAGAAAAACAAGATCTCCAAGTATCGTGAATTAACTGTGCCTCTACAGAGATATAATCAATGACATGTACGAGCTGTCCACTTCATGTGCAGTCGATGATCTCACCTTCTTAAAAGACTGGCGTGCAGCATTCGAATCGCTCCACGGTTGCATTGAAACGTTCATCTACAGCCCGTCTTTATTGTACACTCGAAACTTGGTTCGCAAAATATCGAGATCAACAAAACAAGAGATATCGTAGGAAAGGAAAAAACGGCTACTCGTTCTACGCCTAGACGAAGTCTGCCACCAATTTTAGCTACATTTATTGCGCTGTAGCAGCCTCGCTTGAGCGCAAATCAAACGGAATTCTGGAAGCGCTGGGACGCTAGCTCGTATAAACTGCAGCGTTATTTCGTTTGTTCAAACTTCTAACTCTAGATCTACCTTTTTTAAGAATTCCCATTCAGTTTGAAGCAAACACCCAGAACCCAACGGAAAGACCCAGCTCATAAAAGAGTGGAATAGATACGTTCAACGTAGATAACGATAAATTTTTAAGCATTTTGAAAATCTAAACTGTGTTTCCTCCTATGTTGAGAATTTATTCTTCTTCTTCGAATAATTCGTCATCGAACTGCTTTGTTTGTCTACTGCTTCACACTTATACTTTTTTTGCTCTCACAGATTTTGGAGGACAATCCGTTATTCAATTGCGGCTATGGGTCGAATCCTACGATGAGCGGCACTATTGAATGTGAGGCCGGGTTTATGTCATCGGACGGCCTCCGGTTAGTTTTTCTTTAGTAACGCCTAGTTCATTAGAGGACGCTACTAGGAATCGTTACATGCTCCTTCGCGTTTTCGAGCAGTTTCAAGAAAGATGTCAGTATGGTCCGCAAATGGGTGGGTGCGCTGGAGGAGGATTGGGTAGCGATTATTCCCCCCACGCTTGCTTGAATGGTTTTTTTTGCGGGTGCAAGTGCCTTTTCAAAAACACTGCTAGGACTTTGATGCAACAATTTCGAGTAAGTGCAGCACCCGGCCCTTGTGGGTTAACCCATTATTCAAATCACTAAAAATTTTGTGTTTTTAATGTAAACGCGGTGGCAAGGGTGATTACCTTTTAGAGTTTCCCACCGGGAATCAAGAAATGAGTGAGCAGGAGCACGCACATGAACTTTCGCGACTAAACCAGCACCGGATTTGCTACGGGCTGTTATATTCTACAAAGCACGTAGTGGAAAAGTTCAGTTTTCGATATCGTCAGCAACCTACTCGCTAAGAGAAACTGTTCTTCGATGAGCAGTCAATAATTAGTTGAACTGCTTCACTGCAGAGGATACTAACTTTGGAGTCACGCAAACATCGTCCCACAGTCTTGCTCGGCATGAAGCGACCCATCGGCTTTGAATTGCTGAACGCAGGCTTGATGGTCACAATTGCCGCTTATCCTATGAACCCCTTTATATTGCCAACGCAGACGTCACAGTCAGACGTTCAAAACCATTACCCAGGTACCTTCAGGCGCACGTCAGAGTTTTTCTTCAGAAATCTGCAAAAAATCCACCCGCCTCGCTTGGCTGCAGATTGTTCATCATTCGTTCTCCCGAGTCGTTTCCTTTTGTGCGATCATGGGCGCCGCTTTCTCAAGCACATTTTTTTGAAAGAAAGTTTGTAACTAGTGATGCTCTGAAAATGGTAACAGTCATGAGGTTCTTTCAATCAGTTGAGTTCTAAACAAAAGGCATTAGTGATTTGCTCGAAGGATAAGAGGAGGCTGTCGATATATCTGGTGAATATATTCCTGATATTCGATGTGGAAATTTGAGGAAAAAGGAAGTTGTTTTTGTCAAACTCTCTTGCTAGGCTAACAAAATGCAACTTGCCCATAGGTGTACCATCATGAAGATAACACCCACGGCGTAACGAAGGCAAAATAAAAAGCAACGATTTCATGGATCCTGTTCGAACTTCTCACCAACCTAATATTTTCGTTTTCCTATTAATCTTCTTTGAAGATGGTCAGCATAAATTATTAGGCTTGCATCATTCAGCTGATTCAATTACTCTTGAGGTTCGGAGCTGTCGGGGGTGTGTCACGCTTGTCAAATCCCTGTAAAGTTGCTAAGGCCATCGCCTATCCGGAAGACCAAGGAGAGCTTGTTCCTCCGATGGTTCTAGTGGGAATAGGAGCAGAAGAGTGGGCAGAAAAAAGAGGTGAGCATTTAAGTAAGCGGATGTGACTCTTATTTTCTTGTAGTTCTCTGAAACTGGTTCAAGATGTATCAAATAGTAGTGCTCAGCCGGGCGGGTTTGATTCAGGTACCAAACGAGTCGGCTTCGTGTACTAATTAAAGGTAATTCAAAGCTCTCGATATGTGGCATACCTCGTATAGCGCCCTAACGCGTAAGGCCAGCTGCAACATCTAGCCATATACAGTAGGGGCAAAAGTCCTGTTAAAAGCTTTTCGAATCGTATCTTTTTTCCTGGTTGAGGGGCTCAAGATAAATTTTGATAGGCTCCTATACGGGGGATTAGAGGACTACGCGCAGAGGTTCTACTACAGAAGCATTTTTTCCTGATTGCGAGGTTAGCAATAGTTGCATTTTTTTGCATCTCTTTTATGCTCGACGTTAGTACTTGTACACTCAAGGCATGCATAGCAGGGCAGTAGTTACGCAGAGAGTTCGGCTGGCAGCAGCAGGCACGAAGGAATCGGGCATGAAAGTAAGGGTAACTGCTAGGATCTTGAAGGACCCACAGCAGACGATTTCTTCGATTATCCCTTGCTAGCAGGTTAGAAACTCTGTTTGCAATGCTTAGAGAACGGGTAGACTCCTATGTGCTTTATCAGCCCATGACAGACGGATCACACTCATCATTATACAGTGCGTTTCATAATTATAAGGTCACCCCAGATTTTTGCGATTCTGGAGAAAGCAGCCGGAATGGGATTTTTTGGCAAACACTAGAAGATTCCCCGTTACAATGTACCTCTGTACTCAAATTTTGGTCGCAATATCCTTCACCTCAAATTTTTTATGAATTTTTTAAAGATAGGGTCAGCTTCTGCACCGTTTCATAATTATAAGGTCACCCTGAAAAAGTAAATGATTTACTAACGTTGATGGCATATGCACAACACTTAATAATCTATAGCTCCTCCTTGTTTAAGAGCAACATCAAAGAGTCTGCGTGGCATACTAAAAACTAGGTTTCGAAAATGTTCCTCATGGATTGCTCTCCATGCTTCGATAACTGCCCGCTTCAGCTGTTCTGTGCCCTGGAACTGACGGTTGTTCGCATAAACCTGTCTGACTATTATGCCCCAGATATGTTCCATCGGATTGAGATCGGGACTGCAGGCTGGCCATGGCAGGACGCTTATTTATTGGCATTGCAGCCGCTCATCCGTTGCACGGCTCACATGGATGGAGGCGT